GCAAACACCTTTCTGGACTTGATTCTATTTCATATTCATTCTGCACAGATTCCTTTAACTTTGAGACCTACACTAGTTTATATCACTATCTAAACTATTGCTCCATTCGTTTTTGTTTCTGCCTTGTTTTCTAACTACAGGAAAACAGTGTGGTATAGTATTTAAAAGGTCAGTAGGTCCCGGACTTCTGCAAATTAATGGACTTGCCCGTGGGGCTTGGGAATCTGAATGGAAACAAAGATGGAGGGAAGCACTTCCTCCTATTTAGAAAAATTATCTTAGTAGGTTCTCAGAGATCCTCTCAGTTTATATAATATACATTGTTTTGGGTATAGATCAAAATGTCTGTAAGGCAAATTATGTCTTAGAAAAATAAGATGATCTCTTTGTTCATCAAAAAAAGTTTTTAAAAAAAATAAAACTAACCATTCTTTATGAATATCATTTTCTAATTTATAATATAAAGTGTTGCAAGTGCTTTACACTTTCCTAAACTAAAGGTTGGCAGTTCTAACCCACCTAGAGGCACTGATCTGCTTCCATAGAGTGCCCCACGGAGGAGTTCTACTCTGTAACACAAGGCTTGCCATGAGTAGATATCAAGTAAATGATAACGGGTTTAATTTATAATAATTAGGATTTCAAAATATGCCTTTGCTTAGCACAGGACTGGATTTGTAAGTGGTATAAATACCTGCTCACAGTCTCAGGAAGATTTTAGTTTTGGGGTTTGGTCTGACAAGATGGACAAGTAGAAAAACTTTGCAGGAGAGAAATGGCCTCAAGGAAGTCTGCACTCCTGTCTGAAGCTTCCGGGGAGCAGCTGGACCAGGGTTGGGAATAAGAAGTTACACTTTCTGAGTGCTTATAAGACAGGCACTGTTCCAAGCCTGGAAAGTTTTCACTCGTATGTAAGGAACTGGTGTTTGAGGGGATGTTGTTGTTGAGTGCTTTCGAGTCGGTTCCGACCCACATCGACCTGTATGGGTTTCCAAGAAGCAGCTGGTGAACGTGAACCACCGACCTTACAGTTCAAACTGACTTTGCAGTCTGACACATTAACCCACAGCGCCATACCTAAGCTCTGCTTGTTGGTGTTGTTGTGAAGTGCCATTGAGTCGGTTCCCACCCATAGCGACCCTCTACATGGTTTCCCTCTACATGGTTTCCGAGGAGTGGCTGGTGAGCTTGAACTGCCGACCTTACATTTCAAATGGCTTTCCAGTCTGGCGCATTAACCCACAGTGCCACCCTTTTGGTGTGTATCAACTCAAGTACCCCAACAGCCCCATGAAATAGTCATAATGATCCCCATCTTGCAGAGGAGAAACTGAGACTGGTTACAAGTGTCTTACCCAATGGAAGGTGGAGATGCTGGCTATCTTAGTCCTGCTGGAAGCCATTAAAATCAACTTTGCTAACAGGGATCCAAAAAATGTCCCAAGACCGCAAACATGGAAGCAAGTGACTTAACCGCCTTTTCAGATAAGAAACTTCTCTTCTGGAAGGTCAAAGGTGAATTCCCGTGTGTGCTGGAGTGGAAAACTGCAGTCTACTCTTAGCTAGCCTGTGCAAAGAATGTCCTCGTTCCGGCCCCAAAGCCTGCCGGCAGGGCTGAAAAAAATAATAGCAAAACAGCCCGTAGACAGCCACGTGGCCCAAACTCCGCGCCACCCGGGCTACGCGCAGAGGCGGGGCCAGAGGGGGCGAGGCTGGGGCTCTAGGACGCGCGGGGCAGCGGAGTGCGCCTGCGCATCAAGTGGGCCGGGCGGGGGTGGGTTGGGAACGCGAATGCGAGCGGTGTTAAAGGCCGCTCCCCGCCCTGCCTGCCGGTCCAGTCGTTGAAGTGCGCAGGCGCCGAGATCTCTCCTTGTCAGTCGGCGCCGCGTGCGGTTTCAGTGGGCTGTGGCAGCGGTAGCGACTAGTCTCCGGCACCATGAGTGGCTTCAGCAGCGAGGAGCGCGCCGCGCCCTTCACCCTCGAGTACCGAGTCTTCCTCAGTGAGTGCCCGCGCTCCCCTCCGCTCACCCTTCCATTCATTCTCAGGCCTCACCTGCTGCCCGGCAGGCTCAGCCAGCCATCTACCTCTGGTCCCCGGCCCGGCCAAGCTCCCGGGGCCCTGATCGGCCCTCACATTTCACATTTCCCGCTCGCCCTTGGCCAGCCCTCTGCTAAAGAGAAATCATTCGTCTTTCACACGCCGGCTGGACCCGATGGGCCGGGCTAGTTTTGCAGGTGTCGGGCTCGGGCGATTGTCTGATGGGAACCACTGAGTCACTCTAGAAAGATGCCTGGAGGTAAAATAATCTCCGTAAAAGGATTGCACAGCTTGAGGGCAGGCGTGGGGTGGTGATTTCCTTAAGACCTGAATACCTCCACTGGAGCTCAGATTGTTGGCGAGGTTCTGCAGATGGGGAAACCGAGGCCCGCTAAGGGGCTGCCAGTGGAAACGCTCGCGCTCCTGGCCTTTGCCCGGGTTTTATCGTAGGTACCGATGCTGGCACTTCTCATGCTGAAACAGAAAGCTGTTCCTTTCGAATTAAACAAGTGACGTCAACTGGGAACCATGAGTGAGAAAGCGCCAAGTTTCTACCTTTGTGCAAGAAGTTAGCGTTAAAAGGGTACCTGTTTTACGCCCTGAACCTACTATCCAAGAACCTGCAGCTGAGGGCGCTCGGCTTTCCAGAACGAGAACGCACCACTGTTGCCTTGTAGTGCAGGAAAGCTATGTTGGGTTTATCTTGATCTTCTACCCACCAAGCCACAACGAATAGATTATATTGGTGATAACGCAGGAATTAAAAAAAGTGTTGCCAGAGGCATACCCTTTTAAATCTTTTACAATTTTATTGTGGAACAGAATAGGCAGGTGAAAGGAACGCTTTGGGTCCATGTGTATGAAGGGCTAGGAGGGGAGGATTAGAGAGAACTGATAGCAAAACTGAAAGAAGGAACAAATAAAGCTCATTGCCAACAAGTAGTCTGGTGTGAGAGGAAAAGGAAAGTGAAGCTAAAAATTCACATCATCTAGTTGAAAATTGGACTCCTGATGTGGCGCTATAGGATCAGCACTGGACTGCAAACAAGGTTGGCAGTTCAAACCCACCAGCTGCTCCTTGGAAACCCTGTGTAGGATCGCTATGAATCGGAACGAACTCCACGGCACATAGCAATAAAATTGAAAATTAAATTACCATATACAATCCAGGAAGGGTGGAGCTGCGTTTCACAATTAAGTGGCAAGGGCAGTGCAGGACTTTTGCCTGCACTGGACTCTTTTTTTTTTTTAAGTTATTGTTGTTATGTGCCGTAGATTAGGTTCCGACTCATTCCGAGGCTGTAAATCTTTACGGGAGCAGAAAGCCTCATCTTTCTCCCACGGAACAGCTGGTAGTTTCGAACTGCAGACCCTGAGGATAGCAGCCCGATTCGTAACCATTACGCTACCAGAGGTCCTTAACTCTTTTCTTTTCTTTTTTTTTTTTTTTTAAGTTAGTGTTGGCTTCAGAATTTTCCTTTGAATCAGGTTTGAAGTTGGTACCATGATCTGGGTAAATTGTCTTCAGGCTATATTTGCCTTTGGACAGCAAATAGTTTATTTTTTAATTAGATTATTTTGCATAGTAGTTGTTTTTACTAAGATGATATACTGACAGTGAGTATTGATGACTGTTATCGAGACCAGTGAAGTGCTGGTGTGACCTGGGGGTTAATGAGCTGGAATGCAAGGTCCCTGTTGAATTAACAACATCAACACTGAGACCAAAGTCACTCCAAAACTTTGGTACCCACTAAAGTAACTTTTTATTAAATAGAACTCTCCGGAACCTAATACCAATGATTAGAACCTGTTCTGTACTTCCATAGTTTTAAGTCTGTTTTTTAACACAGATTTCTTAGCATTTTTCCTAATAGGAGAAGTAAGATTTTTTTAATTTTACTTCTCTATATATATTTGCCATCCTCTTTAAGATTGGTAATGGCTTGGCCCACAGCCAGAGTTGGCTCTGAAGGGGCTTTTACAGGATTGGAGATGGTTATGTCTAACTTTGACTTTTCCACTGTGGTTTTGAAATCATCTAGGAAAGGGATATAATGTGTATTTGGCTCTTAGATTTCCTAAGAATAGTGAGGAAGGATGTTCTTAAACTTACTTTTTTGACTATGGCAGTTGGGCTCTAGAATGTCGAAATGACGTCTGAACGTGTTGTTACACCTTGATTACCTTAAGAAAAATCGTAATCTACAGTGGCTCTGTCGTCTTGGGGCATCACCTTTATAAAGCAACATACTTTACAATTCAGTACACTGGTCCCCTCTTTCCTCCCAACGGAGCTTATCATTGTAAACTGTTAAACTGATGTAAAATGAATCCAAAACAGCTTGATTGTCTTTGTGTACTAGGCACTGCTGCTATTGTTAAATACCATCGAGTTGATTCCTACTCATACTGATCCTGTATAGGGTTTCCAAGGAGCAGCTGGTGGGTTTGAATTGCCAGCCTTGTGGTAAGCAGTGCTGATCCTACAGCACCACAACCAGGCTCTTGGATACTAAAGTAATTTGGTCTCTTCCCTCATTATAAGTACTTGTGAGATGCCCATAGAATAAAAACCCAACCCAATCATGAAGGAAGGTCAGGCGGCATGAAATATGCAACCAGGTTTTCTGATGTGGGAATAAAATCTTGGTATGAAATTTACTTCATGCACCTGGAAGTATAATTAACCACAGTACTAACTTCTTTGATTTTTTTTTTTTTTTTTTACAGAAAATGAAAAAGGACAATACATATCTCCATTTCATGATATTCCAATTTATGCAGATAAGGTAAGGCATTCTTATCTTTTGAGCAGTCTTTGTATTTAGATCAGCTAGTTCCACATATGGGCTTTTAAAAATCTATCCCTTAACAAGGGTTTAAGATGTCTCATGAAATCCTGGTGTGGTGCTGTAGGATCAGCACTGAACTGCTAACCATAGAGTTGGTGGTTCAAACCCACCAGGTGCTCCTTGGAAACCCAATACAAGGTTGCTGAGTCAGAACTGACTTTATGGCAACAACAACATTATGCTATGTGTTACAAGTGCATTGCTTAAGTCAGTCTTAAAGCCAGGTGGAGTCCTGGTGTGGCGCTAGGGGTTAATGCCCCACATGGCAAAGCCATCTAAAGTCAGCCATTCAAGTTCACCAGCTTCTCCTCGGAAACCTTATACAGGGTCACTATGGGTCGTAACCGACTCAGCGGCACTTAACAACAACAACAAAGCCAGATTATTCTGTTGAAAGAGCAGCTGTAAATTGGGGGCCCACCACCTGCCATCAAGTTGATTCCATCTCATAGCAACCCTACAGGGCAGGCTAGCACTCACTACTCCCTAGGATTTGCAAGGCTATTGATCTTTATTCTTTTCTGCTTTTACTTTTAAGATTAATTTAATTTACTCCTGAGCCATAAGTTTTTGTTTGTTCTGAGGTATCTTTTTCTTCTGTGCAATATCCTTTTCTGGGTTAGGAATGATTTGTTCCTTTTCATTGAGGATCATCTCATTGTAGCAGGGGGAGCCCATGTAGGGATGTAGGGGTTAATCCGATAATCCAACCATGAGCTCTATAAATTCAGCGGCACATCTTGGGGGTTTTGTTGACCTGAATGTGCTCAATGACCAGAGAATCCATATGTAAAACCCTTCAGTTCAGCATTGCTGTCTGCATTTTTAAGCATGTTCAGCAAAAATTGGGCGTTGTTTTTGGTCCACCGACCCTGTGGCTAACCCCACTTTTTGACCTGGGCACACCTACCAGTGCCACCATTGTAAGGTTGGATTGGTACACATTGCAGAAGCAAAGTGACATCTTTAAGATACTTGGTGACTTTCCGGATATGCATATCCTTGATGGCCTGGGTAGTCTCATGGGTACTCTTAAAATGGACCTGGAGATTTGAACCTCTGGATTTGTACCAGGATTTTGTGGGGTTTTCTGGGTCAAGTGAGTAGCAAACCATTTTGTGAGATTACCCCAGGCCACTTACAGGAAGAGCAAGGCTATAAATCTTTATAGGAGCAGGAAGCCTTCTCTTTCTCCTTTGGAATGGCTGGTGAATTTGAACTGCTGACCTGTGGTTAGCATTCCAATGTATAACCTGCTATATACCACTAGGGCTCCTTATAAATTGAGAAAGAGTAGAAAAATTGAAACTAATTGTTTTTATGCTGCCTAGTTGAAAATAAAAATTTAAAAAGTCACATTGATCTATTCTATATGTGTTTCTGGAACTAAAATCTTAAACTTGCAAACCCTTTGCAGTCACAGTTGTTATGTTGTTAAATGCCATCAAGTCTTTCAGGTGACCTTGTATAGGGTTTCCAGGGAGCAGCGGATGGGTTTAAACTGCTGACCTTGCAGTTGGCAGTCCCATGCTTATCATATAGCATCCCACTAGGACTTCATAGTGACCCTGTGGTGGTGATAGTTGTGTGCCATGGAGTCGATTCAGACTCAGCGACCCTGTATAGGGTTTCCGAGGCTCCTCAGTGATGCTATATAGGACAGAGTCTAACTGCACCATAAATCTTTGTGGAAGCGGACTGCTACATCCTGCCCCCTCCGAGTGTCTGGTGGGTTCATAAACTATTGCCAACCTTTTGGTTAGCAGTTGAGTGCTTGACCAGTACACCACCTGGCTCCTTAGGGCGTGATTTTAAAGTAGACCCTGTAGTTGCATAAAATATAGACTGTGGGATGTTTATTAAACAGTAAAAATAAACCTGATTGCTCAGTGACTGTGGGAAGATTCTGTACTTTTAATGACCTGGTAGAGTTAAGATCTGCAAATAGATTGCCAGGCCTTTTTTCCAAGGCACCTCTAGGTGTACTATAACCTTTAACTGTGAAGTTAGCAGCCACGCACAGTCACCATTTTCACCACCCGATGACTCTGAAGGTAAGTCCACAGACTCCTAAACCATGCTGTGTGTTCCTATATACACCTGTGAGCTTCAGAACTGAACATTTCTTATGCGTAGCCGTCACGGCACAGTGGTCAAACGCTTGCTGCCTATGTTGAGTCACTAGGAGTCAGAACTGACTTGACAGCCGTGGCTTTGGTTGGTTTGGGAGTTTATCATAAATTACTAAGAATCTTTTCGTCTTCCACTCTATATAGGAAAGCCTTATTTCGTTGTATTTTGCTTTATTGTGCTTCTTAGATGATTGTGTTTTTTACAGATCAAAGGTTTGTGCAACCCTTCATTGAGCAAACCCATGGGCACCATTTTTCTACTGCATGTACTCACTTTGTGTCTCTGTCCCTTTTGAGTAATTCTCACAAGAGGTCAGACTTTTTTTTTAAATATAAAACTATTTATTGACCACTGTTCACCAGTATTTACAATGAAATAAACAATATACAGTTGGATTCACATTCGCATTATACAAAGTTATTTTTCCTAGTTTTAGCTGAACCAGTAACCAAATACTGAAAAGACTGAACCTACATGTAAGGAATGGGTTGGGATAAAACAAAAACCAAAAAACCCAAGCAGGCCAATAGTTTACAAGATTGTTTACCCATTTTTGCCAGCAGGTCCTAAATGGAAACGTTTCTAACCATTGTGTTAGAGTCTTACCTGCAAGGTATTAGACATTCCATGAATCATGACCTTTTACTAAAACACAGAGGTTTCAACTTTCTGTAAGGAATGGCTCTCTAAATGGATCAAAAGCTCACTTAACTCAACTTTGTTTGGCTTATTTAAATATTATTTGTCCAGTTTTCTTACCTAGGTAGGGAGGTTTTTAGCAGAGGTAAGATTTTCCCATTCAGTAAATTTGCAAATAAACACTTTCAATTATATGACTGTCTCGATAATGATGTTTCAAGTTGTCTAATTAATTACTAGATCATTTATTTGATTTGAACGCTTATGTCTTAGAATTGTTTTCAATTTAACTTGAGATCTATTTCTTATGGTGCTCAGATTGATAGCATCCTTGAAACAATACAAATTTACCCATGGCTGTGAATGCCAGTTTTACGCAGAAATTTTGTTTTTGGTGAATGTAAAATCAAATCAAATACATTTACATATACACAAAAACAACCTAAAACTCAGAAGAGTCCTTAGGCATATATTTTTTATGGGTTAAACCCAAGTTCTGCTTCAGCAATGCCTAGATAAAATTTCCCAGTATTTAGAAAAGCTATTCTCTAATGCAGAGGAAATAATACACCATGGTATCGAATGTTTGTTTTCTGATAAATGAAGCAACTACAGAAAGCTTTTATGTTTTTGTTCAAAATAACCAGTGCTATTGATGCAACAAAACAAACAAACAAAAACCCCAACAGCTCCCCCAATACTGTTTCAAAACAAACATATCAAACTTGGTTTCCATTCGAATGTAGTTATTCTTCACACTAATCAATCAAAACAACAAAAAACCAAGACCTAAATTTTATATACATACAAATATATATAAAAAGCAATGCGCACCCTCTGATTGGTGACCACACACATCACCGATGGGGGATGATCGGAGCTCAACCTGGAGAGGAAAGAAGAGGGGGAAAAA